CTACTAACCCCAAATCAACATCATAACACAGAGCATTTACTTAAATATTTGTATTTATAAAAAGAACGTATAAACATACAAAAATGATTTAAAATATTTATAATTCTATCAGGGCACCCCGAAGCGGTGTAATGGTTAGCAAGCTTGTCTCACTAGAACAATTACGACTGAGTAGTGAGTTCGATCCTCACTGGGTGCCCCCTACTTTCGGTCTTGTGTCACATCCGGGCTACGCTTGGAAAATCACTATAAGTCTATCATTCGCCCTTTGCTTTAAATATGTCTGCTACATCTAGATTGATGCTCCTCACACGGTTGACGAATAAGTTGAACAAGTCTCACCAAAGTTACTCACCCTGTTATATCTTAAGCCCATATGAAATGAAGTAAAATATGTCTGAGAAGAGGTTCTTGATAAGAAGAATCTGCCACGCTATTGGTCCTGGCTTGGCATCTCGGCTTCAGTCATTTTCCCATCGACGTAACGTAGCTTCCCTGTGCCATTTCTAGAAATGCTTTCATGGTAATTTTTCAGAACTTTTCTCTATGATACCTAGATTTTATGAATTTAAGCGAATTACTAGATTGGAGGTACGGTCACGTCACTTATTGTTGAAATGCCTAGAAGTAAACCGTAAGTTCTATGTTAACAGTTTCTTCTATTGTACTTCTCTCCTGTGAAACTCTCTTCCGGCGTCTTGCTTCCCAGTCAACTTTGATCTTCAAAAGTTTAAATGCAATACCAATCGTTACCTTCTGTTTTTTTTTAATTCTTGTTCTTTTATCATTCTCATTTTTTAATAGTGTCTTTCTCATATTCTCTAACACTCAGTAATCACTTGCGTCTTAGTGGCTTTATTGCCTTTGATCTTCACAAATTTAAATGCAATGTCAATCATTATCTTCTGTCTTCATAATTCTTGTTCTTTTATTGTCTTCTTTCCTTAATAGTAGTTTTTCTCGTATTCTCTAATACTCAGTAGCCTCTTGCGTCTTAGTGGCTTTATTGCCTTTGAGCTTCACAAATTTAAATGCAATGTCAATCGTTATCTTCTGTCTTCTTAATTCTTGTTCCTTTATTGTCCTCTCTCCTTAATAGTAGTTTTTCTCATATTATCTAACACTCAGTAACCTCGTGCGTCTTAGTGGCTTTATTGACTACATATAATCCAATGAGGGCACCTTGGCGTAGGGTAATGGTTAGCAAGCTTGTCGCGCTAGAACATATAACGACTGAGTAGTGAGTTCGATCCTCACTGGGTGCTCCATACTTTCGGCCTTGTGCCACATCTAAGCAGCGCTTAGAAAATCACTATAATCCAATGAAGGGAATATATATATATATATATATATATATATATATTGAAAGATTCTCATGTGAAAACCTAGTAAAAGTAAGGACTTGATTAAACATACTATAATTGCTTAAGGCAGGGGTGCCCAAACTTTTTTTTTGAATAGGGCCATGATGAGGTGAATATGCGTGAGGGCCAACCATTCTGATCAACATTCTTTGAGACATTATAATTAAATACAAAAGAACTTATGAAAAATTTATTGCAAATGGCATACTTTTATTTCTTCACACGATTGACAAATAAATTTAAACAGGTCATACCAAAATCACCCAGCCTGTCTTATCTGAAGCCCATATAAAGTGATGTAAAATATGTCCGAGAAAAAATAACTGTAGAAAGCTATAATATATTTCAGCTTAATCTTAAACATTATATATTATTGGTAATTAATGTTGTCTGTCAACTTAAATACATGAATAGGGACATGACGCCAATATACATCTTATTAATAAATACATTATATAAAGTGAAACATGTATAAGTGTCCAAATACATTGATAATTGATTTTGACCAACACAAAACAAATTTAAGTTACTAAGATTTTAGAATTTATTCATCTCAGATGACCAAAACAAATGCCTGCACTAATGTGAAGGGTAATACTGAGATCCGAACAGCAATATGTAGGCCATGTCTGATTCAAAACAATGGTCTAGTTCTCAGGCAGTGATTTTAGAAATTGATTGGAAAAGGTCATGGCCAGGCTCCCACCGCTAGATGGCGACCACACAGCGCTGCTGCCATCTTTTAGTAAAACATGAAATTGCATTTCTTAGGTGTGTAGTTTACATACTCTGATTGACAATACTGGTGGACCGTAAGTGATTGATACATTCTATGACAGAGGACGGGGGTCATTCGAAATTAACCCCCGGGCGCCGGAATTTGGAAATACCTGGGTTTAGGTTTTGGTAACTAAAGTAGTATTAAATATACGATTCTACTGGACATAAAGTAGGGGACGGGTTTTAAGTTTTTATTATGTAATGAACTGATCTCCCAAGAATTACAATATATTAATATTTCAACATGATCAGACCAAAAACTGGGTGTGATTGTTGGGTCGATACGTTGTACATGTCACGGTAGGTTTTCATTCACAGGTCAGACCTCAGACGGTGTCTCCTAACTTGAAGGCACAACATGGCGATAAGCGGCCGTTTATTCTCTTGTGGGACAACTCAAGGACGTTAACTCAATCTAGGAAGCCCTGTACCCAAAGATGCAGTGTCCTCACCATTCCAGTAGTTCTGTTCCATGTGCAGATTTAGCTTTCAGCCGGACGAAACTCGCTATTAAGATTAATACAATAAGGAATAAAACTGTATTTAAGGGCAAAAGGTGAAAATATTTTTAAGAAGAGTAAGAACTACAAAAAAATATGGCGTCATTTTGAAGAGCCGGGTTGAAATAGTATTAATGTAACATTGTGCTGTACAATGGGCGACAGTGTTCCTTGCGTCAGTTAAAAAGTAAAGCGATTCCTTAGAATTGCTTCGTCTTAAAGTAACGATGAAAAATGTATTTAAAGGCTCATATGAACGTTGTGGTGTCATGGATATCGGCTCGGAGTGAGAACGCGGAGATCTGAGCTCGAATTCTTGGCGACTGTTAGATTCATTTACGTACAAATAACCTTATGAAAGGTATGAATCAATCTCTTCTCTCCCAGCTTTAGGTTGAATAGCAGGACAGACTAGGTTCTATAGCGTTGGTTAACAAACTGTCTACCACAGAAAGAAATGGCAACCTACTCCTAAAAAAAAATCTGCCTCGTCAGTCATGTATCGAAAGATACTTGATCGCCCAAGCTTGTATCCCGTATGGCACTTAACTGACTGATTTGAAAACGTTCTGATTATCGTAAGGAGTTTTCCCGAGCAATATATTGAAATATTATTCTCGAGCAATGTCAATTAGAAAGAAATTTAGAATTAAACTTTCTTCTGATTTCGTAAATCAAGAACTAAAGGAAACTATATGATAAATATCCTGAACGTTTCGATTTTTATTCATGATTGATTAATCTATCTATCTATCTATCTATCTATCTATCTATCTATGAATGAATGAGTGAGTGAGTGAGTGAGTGAGTGAGTGAGTGAGTGAGTGAGTGAGTGAGTGAGTGAGTGAGTGAGTGAGGCACGGTGGAGTAATGGATTGCGGCTTGGATTGAGGAATCGGAGAGTCGAGTTCGAATTCCAGTCGAATCCATTACATTCACTTACGTGCTAACACCCTTGGGAAAGGTGTGAATCCTCTTTCTTCTCCCTCCAGCTATGGGTAAATAGCAGGACAGACTGGGTTCTATAGCCTTGAATTGCAACTGGTCTAGGAGAAGGAATACTCTGAATTCAAACCTGTTCTTAGAGGAGGGTGAATGGAGTCTCTCTGAGCCTTGGTTGGCAATCCATTTAGTGTTGGTGTCATGATAAAAACACCCTTGATAGCCCTAGCGAAGCATCAAGAATTCAGCTATTTGACAAGATTATGAACTACAGCAATCAATGTATTGGTGAGTTCAATCTCGGCTGAGGCCGCAAGATGATCTATCTATCTATCTATCTATCTATCTATCTATCTATCTATCTATCTATCCCAGTATATTCATGATGTACCTGTACGTACGTACATTCTGATCTGCTGGCATCTGTCTATCTATCTATCTATCTATCTCGTCGTCGTTGGCACCCGCTAGCATTCGAGCATCGGGATCGTCAAGTTCTCTCCCTATTTTCTTTCTCTCTGTTAATGGAAGTGGCGGAGATAGCTGTGAATCAAATAGAGTTTGACAAAGCCATTCGCCTGAATTTGATTTTGATGGACAAATCTGCGTGTGTTCGTGCAGCGTTATAATTTTCGCACGCTTTCTTGAAATAACGTCCACCGCAGGCAATGGCCGTAGGGAAACTAATCGACAGTCGAGACAATAGTGTCTGGACGTGATAAAAATCTGATGCAATCACGGATGACGCAATATTTTTCAAGGCCAAACAATTCCATCATATACCCCGAAAATTGATTCATATTACTGCATACCACTGCAAATGACCTAATCTGAGGAAAAATAGAAATCGATTGCACCCTGTCACTCTAGTGGGTCTAAAACTGACCGTATGGTGAAAGAAAGTAAGCTAAAGCGGTTGTTTCAATTAATTTGCACAAAGGTGTAAATCATAACCAGGGAAAGGACATTTTTATTCATTCGGTGATGTGTGGATAATTTTAACATTTATCAATGTATCTCGTCTTGAAAAAACGTTTGTGCAGCTAATCAGCGTGATAAAGCGAATGAAACGTAACCAGAGTTTATTATCCTATCATAATTGTATCTTCCTTCGTTAGTTCGCACGACCGTTGCGCCGTGCCAATACCTTATGAATAATAGACTATTCAGTGTTGATCGCGTGTAAAACGGTGGGGGTGGAGATACAAGTTGGATTCAGTGAGAAAATAAAAGAAAGAAAGAAAGAAAGAAAGAAAAGAAGAAAGACAGATAGACGTGTTTGACGTTTCATACCAATACCTATTAAATAATAGACTATTATGTTTTGATTGCATGCAAAATGGCGGGGGGGATACTACTTGGTGTCAGTGAGAAAATAAATGAAAGAAAAAAAAGAAGAAACATGGACTATGACTCAAAAGCAAAGAAAGAAAGAAAGAAAGAAAGAAAGAAAGAAAGAAAGAAAGAAAGAGATAATGGGGAGACTTGGATAGATAGATAGATAGATAGATAGATAGATAGATAGATAGATAGATAGATAGAGGAATATATATGAAAATACTGCTATAGATAGATAGATAGATAGATAGATAGACATGAAGCGACTGCGATAGGTAGTTAGATAGATATGAAGAAACTGTGATAGATAGATAGATAGATAGATAGATAGATAGATAGATAGATAGATAGATACTGGGATATATATGAAAATACTGCGATAGATAGATAGATAGATAGATAGATAGATAGATAGATAGATAGATAGATAGATATGAAGCGACTGCGATAGGTAGTTAGATAGATAGATATGAATAGACTGTGATAGATATGAACAGACTGCGATAGATAGATAGATAGATAGATAGATAGATAGATAGATAGATAGATAGATATGAAGCTACTGCGATAGATACATAGATAGACAGATATGAAAATACTGCGATAGATAGATAGAGATGAAGAGACTGCGATAGGTAGATATGAAGAGATAGATTGATAGATAGATAGATATGAACAGGCTTAGATACGTAGATAGATAGATAATGAGCATAACGAGATAGATAGACAGATAGATAGGTTTATGTCAGTCCACTCTTCCTCTAACTGTAATATTTACCCACCATCTTATTATAATTGTGTTTGTCTCGTCATATTTCGCTGACCGTTACGCCCTGCCAATAAATAATGGACTATTCCGTTTTGATCGGCTGCAAAGAGGATAAAAGACACTACTAGGTTTTAATGAGAAAATCAAATAAATAAATAAATAAATAAATGGAAAAGTTGTCAATTTCAAATCTTTTCATTTGTACCCCCTTACTTCTCAAAATAACGAGCAGCATTCATATTAATTATTGTTATTGCGATATTTTCTAAAAATTCATCACAAATTTCGACTAGAAAATCCGTGAATTTTTCACGAGTTAAAACTAATTACCATTATTCACTGGAAATGATATTTGTTGGCAAAAAGTTTACTTTCAGGTCAACATTAAAATAAAAGAAGCGTTTCTTATTTTTCCTAACGGGCTGTATCCAAAAATTTCCAAGGTATCCGAGCAGCCCGCCATTTTTTCCTATTGACTCTATTTCTAAACCACCATCTAACATCTATTTTATTTTCTACGTTTTTTGTACAAAATGAAAGGGTTCCAATAATCACTGTCGCTGTTATTAATTTCTTTACTTCTTCTTTCCATATTATCTGAATTTCATACTTTAAATCATCCTAGTTGGTGGTTTGTCTTTTTTTTTCTTCTTTGCTTTTAGTTCTCATATTAGATAGAGAGGAGACTTCAAACAGGGAGCAAAAACCTTTTCCGTTCGGTCAACAAGACTATATCTTGTTTACTGTGCCCGAAAGTGTTCGTTGTCTCTAACGGAATATTCCACAAGAATTTTATTTTCTTATTTACATCCAACAGCAAGGCTTTGAGGAACTTGCTTTTGTTCCCAGGTCCACCCTAGTCCCAGATGGTAGCACCAGTTAGGGTCCTAGCTTTGGGTAAATAGCGACCCCCAACCAAACAAAAACAAAACACTAGGAAAGTATAAAAGTACATTTTTATTGTAAAAATTACCAGCAATAAACCAACCAAAAAAAAAAAAAAAAAGAAAAGAAAAAAAAACTAGGAATAATGCACTTTTGTAGTGAAATTAACAATATATGATATATATATATACAGACAAACCTCTCATCTACGGACCCTTCATCAATGAACTTTGGATGCAACGGACAAAATCTGCAGGCAAAATAAAAAGAAAATATTTATGAAGAAAATCTTCCAAATTGTCAGCGGTGTATTTTAAACTTTGGGGGCTTAGTGAAACGAGTCGTATTAGTTCTCAAAGTGACCGCTTGGCGGCAGTGTCGGTCATTTATATTATAAACAAAGACAGGTGTAGACTATAAAGTACGATACATTTGCATGTGCGTGAGAAAGTAACTGTGAGAAATCTATTATTTTTGTTATTTTAATTAATATATCTTTATTAAGTATATATTCATTTATGCCATGTTTATACATGTTTATAGTATTTACATTATGATCATAACAGCTGGTAGTTGTTATAGCAGTTTTATAGCTCAAAAGTAATGTCTTGCCATCTACGGACAATCGGCTTTAACGGACCACCCATCCCCCTATTAGTCCGTTGATGAGAGGTTTCTCTCTCTCTTTCTCTCTCTCTCTCTCTCTATATATATATATATATATATATATATATACATTTCTGTAGTTTACTTCTACCAGCAAGCAGAAATATTTCTTCTCCTGATGATGGCCATTTTGGCCGAAACTAGTTGAGGAATCTAAATGAAATAATAATATAAAAAAAAAACGAAAGAATATTAATCTATAACCCAGTGTGTCTGAAGATTTTAATTTTTAATATTTTTTTATTGTTCAATATATATATATATATATATATATATATATATATATATATATATATATATATATATTAAAAAGAAAGAAGAGAGGTGCCGCAAACGTTTTTTGGTTGTAATGTGGATTTATTTAGAAAAAAATATTATGCTTTGTTTTACATAATTTTACGACACGAGTTTCTGGTCTCGCGACCGTCTTCAGGTAAAAGTGGAGATTTCTACATATTATTAAAAATAATTAATTTTTCTTCATGTTCAATGTGAAATATATATATATATATATATATATATATATATATATATATATACGCTTTAAAAATCAAGAGGTCAGTTGAATGCGCTATCTTGGTTTCAACCTTACGGTGTCTTCAGGCGATTTTTAGCAAATGACATCTTAACGCGTTATTTTATTTTTGTTTAAACTGATAAACGCTATATTATATTTTTTAAAAATAAATAAACTCACGACGTTGGTTGTATGTACATTTCAATTACACACCCGCACTGATACTGGATAAAAAAAAAAAAAAAAAAAAACTCCTGAGGATACCGTAAATTTGAAACAAAGGTAGTGGATTCAGCTGACCTGATTTTCAAATGTTCTATATGTTATTTTTTACTTATATTTATTTTTTTTCCACACGTGCAATGATCACTTTTTAATACTACTGTTTCCTGGTCTGATTCAACTTTGACCATTAAACGTTTATGTATTATATAAAAAAAAGAGAAAAAACAAGAACAACATCTATTCTATACTTGAATATGTCTGTAGGAACAGACGAAAGCTTGTAGTAAAAATAAGAACTAATACGGCAGAAATTTATATAAACAAGGATCAATTCATTCATAACGGATTCGGAGGTTTTTGTATATTATTTGAATTGTTTGCGATGATAGATTTCTCGCCATTTAAATCATTAACCTTTGCATTAGTTTTTGTGTGAATAATTCATGTGTTTGTAAATTGATTGCACGTTTATCGTAATTTAAATAACTGATCCAAGTGCGACTTTTGGATAATAAGTGCGACATTACTGTAATTATTGAACAATATAGTTCATGCCACTTTGACAGAAAAAAAATTACCAGTAAAAAAAATTTGTTCATCACCATATTTTATATGAACGCACAACCTTTAAAAAATTTAAAATCAAACTCAGCGTTGCTTTTGCGCGTTCAAAAACAATAACTCATTTTCAATAGCATTTTCGGATACAACAATACATATATTTTCGTTGTCCTCTTATTACTAAGAGAAAAACAAGAACAACATCTATTCTATAACTGAAGATGTCTGTAGGAACAGACGAAAGCTTGTAGTAAAAAATAAGAACTAATACGGCAGAAATTTATATAAACAAGGATCAATTCATTCATAACGGATTCGGAGGTTTTTGTATATTATTTGAATTGTTTGCGATGATGGATGTCTCGCCATTTAAATCATTAACCTTTGCATTAGTTTTTGTGTGAATAATTCATATATATATATATATATATATATATATATATATATGTATATATGTGCCAACAATAAATTTTTATAGTAAACTTGAAGACGTGGCATACATTGTCAAAAAGCAAACAAGCAAAAACAAATAAAAAAACAACAATATTCTATGATTTAATTTCGTAAAAAATAAATTTTCACTCGGCGTTTAATTTTTTATGATGACTTGCTAAAAAGAAAATACAGTTTAGAAATTAGAATTTAATCCTGAAATAATTTCGTTCTCTTGAAATAATTATCAAGTTTGAATTTTCATATTTAGATTTCAGCATTAAATAACCCATAGATGTGTTGATATGCCGCTAGAGAAAAACAGCAAAACCAAACCACTTTCTCAATCCCCTGCACTACATTCTAAACTATTATTATTATTATTATTATCATCTTGAATTTCTGTTGTATACACATTCCTTTCCGGGTCCCAACAAGAGATCTAAGGCCAGAAATGGCTGCATGACATTTTCCACTGAGTATTTTTGTAAAAAAACAAAAACAAAGATCACAGACATTTTACATAGATAAAGCTCTTTGTAATATGTGAGCTGTCCTTTTGAATACAATCTTTTGTATTTCTTTAAGTCATGAGCTACAAGGAATCTCTTTAACGTGTCTATAGGAACATTTTTCCAATCAATCCGAAGGCCCCAACTCCAACTGGAATTATTGATGTCATCATGCGCCACATTTTTTTAGATTTTCCTTCTCAAGATTCTTGTATTTTGATATTTTTTGAAGATCTTCAAAGAGATATTACTGACTGAAGGGATTCCCATATCAATAAGAAAGCACATTCAGTTTTTGTGGTCTTTGATCACAGCGTCTGAGTTATTAGCTTTGATTTTACTGTCTGTGTTTATCTTAAAGTTCCATAAAATTGTTACAGATCCTAACTCTGTAACTGCGCCTGCGTGATGTTCATATCCGTTTCTTACAGTTTCCTTCCTGTAAAAGTTGCATATTTTCCAGTGCACATATTGGCCAACTCTGTCATACCGAGTTTGATATTCAGTTGATATTTCACCGTGAAACCTGATACAAGATGGCCAATTGTTACTGGATATTTATCACAGAATCTGCATTTCGGGTTAAAATAATTTTTTCGGTATGTTTGCTTGGTAATTTCTAATTAGCAAGCATTGGTCCTGTGAAGCATGAATAAAAACTTCGGTTTCAGCTTTTAACCCTGCACTACATAACAATTGGTATGTACGAGGTAGGACGACATCAGTTTGGTACAGATAAAGTATTGACCATGAATAGGTTTATCTTGTCATCGTTTCTGCATTTGGTACATTGACTGTACTTTTGCTTTCTTTCTTTAGGTTCTTTTGCCGCTGCAGTAGGTGCATTATGGTTTATTTGCACTTCTTCATCCACTTGAAATTCCCTTTTCAATTTTTTGGTTTCCTTTATTACTGAGTAAAGTTTCTTATTTCTTTCAAGTTCTTTGACACAGGTGATCATCCAGTCTTCTGTAGTTTCCAGGTGTCTTTGAAGTCCGATAGTTTCTAGTTGAACTAATCCTCTACTTCTTCCAGATCTGTATATATACAGACGATCAACATTGACCTTAGGATGATGCATGCAGTGGCAATTAACATCCATTCGTTTAATGTGATTCTGGCCTAATTAAGGACGTTGAAACTGTACTGCACCACAGGGAGATCCATAGTGTTTATGGCTGATATTTTCTTCTTCTTCTTCTTCTTCTTCTTCTTGTATTTTGTGTCTGTTTATTTCCTTTACGAGCTGCCTCCAAGTTTCAACATGAAATCTCAAGAGACGATAAGCCAACAAATCCTGATTATTGGAGCAAATGGCTGCATATGTAGCTGGTATTCCCTGCAACATTTTACTTAATTCTATGATGTCGTTTTATTATCTGTATTAGTTTAAGCATCGTTAAAATGTGCATGTATATACACAGATGAAATTTATAAACAATGAAAGCGATTAAACAAATTAATTGGAGAGTATGGAAAACTAGAATTACGTCCCAGGTGTAAAATTCAATAAACACACAGATGAATTTCCCAAATTTGAAGATGGTTGCAAAATGTGTCGGGTTCTGTGAATATATGAGACTGTTCAGGCAAATATCCTGTCGCGTCTATAAAGCTTTCCTAAGGATTATGGAAATTGCCCTTTAGTGCAATCTTTGGCATTTTAGCCGAACTCGTTTTACCAGGCAGCCGAGAAAGATCATTTTTCATAATTTATGCTAGGGTTCCTAGTGCATAGTGGATGTCGGGATAACGGTTTGGAGAAATCAGAGAGCCGACTTCGAATTCCAATCAATTTCGTCAAATTCCTTTTCGCGCAAGTACCTTTTGGGAAGGGTGGGAATCCATATCTTGACTTCCCCAATTATGGGTTAAATAGTAAGTCTTGTGTCTTGAAAAAAATCATTGGTATCTTTAAATTGTAAATCCAATATTCCCTTGCAAAATATGAATTATTCTACAATCCCTCAAAATATAATTCACATTTAAATAACCCCCAAAGGGTTGATAAGCCGTAAAAAAGCAAATCAGTCAATCATAGTGTATCAATAATAATTGGGATTGTCTCAGTTTTCTTCATCCTTTTAGTTAGTTTGTTGAACAATTTGACTGAAATATTTACATCAACAAGGATTATTATCTCAAGGTGTGATCACTTCATAATTATTATTATGATTGTCCGCATCTATCTATGTATCTATCTATTTATCTCAGTCTATTCATATCTATCTATCTATCTATCTATCTATCTATGTTAGTTTGTGCATATCTATCTATCTATCTATCTATCTATCTATCTATCTATCTATCTATCTATCTATCTATCTCATTCTTTTCATATATATCTTAAATTGTTCCTATCTATCTATCTATCTATCTATCTATCTATCTATCTATCTATCTATCTATCTATGTTACTTTGTGCATATCTATCTATCTATCTATCTATCTATCTATCTATCTATCTATCTATCTATCTCATATTTTCTGATCCATTTTATCAAACACTTACACAAATTCCAAAAACCTCTTTCCCATAAAACAACCAAGTCGTCAAGCACGAACTTTTCGATTTATTCATTTGTTTCCCTTTTTCTTCATCCTCAGCTATCTCTTACCAATCTTTGCACTAATCAATAGCCAATTTTTGTAGTGGCTAAGGTTCCAAGGACAGGGCCTAAATCGCAGACAACAATGCGATTCTCAAAAGGTCAAACGAAGCAAACAGAATATAGTTTTCAGTACAAAAGCTCCTAATCGCTATAGTGACAACGGCCCGGGTCATCGCTAACCGCATTTACTTGCAAAATTCAGGGTTAATTCAGGTTACGCATGGATGCATCGGCCTCCTTAGCCTGGGACTATATTGAATTTTCGCGCCACCTAATGACGCCCCGGCCTCGGTAAAAATTCGCAGACTCGAACAGAGGATAAGAGAATAATTGACAAGTCGAGAAAGTAGGAACGAGAAAGAAAGAAAGATGTCAAAAAGGGAGAAAATCGAAAGTAGAGAGTGATGAAGGTAAATAATAGTGAGGAGCAGAGATTGGAAAAATGGATAAAGAATCGAGTGCGAAGGATTAATAGCGAGAGGACAGAAGAGAGGTAAATTGAAAAAGGTGAATGCAAAAAAGAGAGAGAGGCACTGTTACGAATTATGAGTCAGGATTGTAAAAAGATGCGCGATAAAAAAAAAAAATAACTGAGTGATGTGGAATAGAGAAAAATAAAGAGGAGGAATTAGGGGAAGGGTGAATAGTTGAGAAGAAGACTAGGCGATTGTGGAGAGAGTAAGGAAGAACTACGGGAATTAGATAGAGAGGGGAGCTGAGAAAAGGAGAGCAAGGAAAAACTATTGGAATGAGATAAAGATGGAAGAGGAGAGTAAGCGGAAAAATAGGAGATTGTACAGAGACTAAGGAGGAATTATGGGAATGAGATAGAGAATGAAAAGGAGAGTAAGCGGAAAAATTAGAAGATGTAGAGAGAGTAAGAGGAAACTACGGAAATGAGATAGAGAGAGAAGAGGAGAGTAAACGGAAGAAAATATGAGATTGTAAAGAGAGTAAGGGGGAACTACGGGAATGAGATAGAGAGGAGGGCTGAGAAAAGGAGAGCAAGGAAAAACTATTGGAATGAGATAAAGATGGAAGAGGAGAGTAAGCGGAAAATAGGAGATTGTACAGAGACTAAGGAGGAATTATGGGGAATGAGATGAGAATGAAAAGGAGAGTAAGCGGAAAAAATTAGAAGATGTAGAGAGAGTAAGAGGAAACTACAGAAATGAGATAGAGAGAAGAGGAGAGTAAACGGAAGAAAATATGAGATTGTAAAGAGAGTAAGGGGGAACTACGGGAATGAGATAGAGAGGAGGGCTGAAAAAGGAGAGCAAGGAAAACTATTGGAATGAGATAAAGATGGAAGAGGAGAGTAAGAGGAAAAAAGGAGATTGTACAGAGACTAAGGAGGAATTATGGGAATGAGATGGAAAGGAGAGTAAACGGAAAAATTAGAAGATGTAGAGAGAGTAAAGGAAACGACAGAAATGAGAGAGAGAGAAGAGGAGAGTAAACGGAAGAAAATATGAGATTTTAAAGAGAGTAAGGGGGAACTACGGGAATGAGATAGAGAGGGGAGCTGAGAAAAGGAGAGCAAGGAAAAACTATTTGAATGAGATAAAGATGGAAGAGGAGAGTAAGCGGAAAAATAGGAGATTGTACAGAGACTAAGGAGGAATTATGGGAATGAGATGGAAAGGAGAGTAAACGGAAAAATTAGAGGATGTAAGAGGAAACGACAGAGAATGAATGAGAGAGAGAGACTAAAGAAGGAATGAGATAAAGATGGATGTGGAGGAAGAAAAAGGAAAATGTATGAGAGAAGAGAGAAAAGGAATGAGAGAGAGGGAAGAGGGAGATGGAAGAAATAGGAGGATTGCAAAGAGAAAAACCAAGGAGAAGGAGGAATGAGATAAAAAAGATGGGAGAGAAAGAGTAAGCGGAAAAAAATAGGAGATTAAACAGAGACTAAGGAGGAATTAGAGGGGGCTGAGAAAGGAAGAGGGAGAATACAGCGGAACAATTAGAGGATTGTAGAGAGTAAGCGGGAATTACGGAGGAAAGTATGAGAATGAGATAGAGGGGGAGCTGAAAAGCAGAAGAAGGAGACTAAAGAAGAAATACTGGAATGAGATAAAGATGGATGTGGAGGGAAGGCGGAAAAATAGGAGATTGTAGAGAGAGTAAGAGAGAACTACGGGAATGAGATAGAGAGGGAAGAGGAGAGTAAGCGGAAGAAAATATGAGATTGCAAAGAGAGTAAGGGAGAACTACGAGAGTTGGGGAGATAGAGAGGAGAGCTTGATAAAGTTTGAAGAACAGCAAAAGGAAGAATAGATGATTGAGAAGTAAGATAAAACTACGGAAGTGATAGAGAGGGTGAGAAAGCGGAAAAAAAAGAGATTGCAAAGAGAGTAAGGGGAAATTACGAGGGAATAACATAGAGAAGTTGAAAAAAAATGAGAAAAGGAGAGTAAGGATGAAATACAGAATTGAGATATAGTTGGAAAAGGAGAGTAAGCGGAAAAATAAGAGATTGTACAGAGAGTAAGCGGGAATTACGGAGATGAAATAGAGTGGGAAGACTTTTGAAATGAGATAAAGGAACAAAAAGCGGAAGAAAATTTGATAGAAAGAGCAAGTGGAACCTATGGGATTTAGGTAGAGACGGAAGCAGAAGAAAGGAAATTAAGGAAGAAGTACTGAATTTGATAAAGATGGAAGAGGAGAGTAAGTTGAAAGAATAGGAGATTTTAGAGAGAGTAAGGGAAAACTACGGGGATGTGATAGAGAGGGAAGGTGAGAGGAAGCGGAAGAAGAATATGAGATTGTAAAGAGAGTAAGGGGGAACTACGAGAGTTGGGAAAAGGAGAGTAAGGAAGTACTTTTGAAATGAGATAAAGTTTGAAGAACAGAGTAAGCGGAAGAAAATAGATGATTGTAGAGAGAGTAAGAGAAAACTACGGAATGTGATAGAGAGGGAAGGTGAGAGGAAGCGGAAGAAGAAAATGAGATTGTAAAGAGAGTAAGGGGGAACTGCGAGAGTTGGGAAAAGGAGAGTAAGGAAGTACTTTTGAAATGAGATAAAGTTTGAAGAACAGAGTAAGCGGAAGAAAATAGATGATTGTAGAGAGAGTAAGAGAAAACTACGGAATGTGATAGAGAGGGAAGGTGAGAGGAAGCGGAAGAAGAATATGAGATTGTAAAGAGAGTAAGGGGGAACTACGAGAGTTGTGAAAAGGAGAGTAAGGAAGTACTACTGAAATGAGATAAATTTTGGAGAACAGAGTAAGCGGAAGAAAATAGATGATTGTAGAGAGAGTAAGAGAAAACTACGGAATGTGATAGAGAGGGAAGGTGAGAGGAAGCGGAAGAAGAATATGAGATTGTAAAGAGAGTAAGGGGGAACTACGAGAGTTGGGAAAAGGAGAGTAAGGAAGTACTACTGAAATGAGATAAATTTTGGAGAACAGAGTAAGCGGAAGAAAATAGATGATTGTAGAGAGTAAGAAAACTACGGAATGTGATAGAGAGGGAAGGTGAGAGGAAGCGGAAGAAGAATATGAGATTGTAAAAAGAGTAAGGGGGAACTACGAGATTTGGGAAAAGGAGAGTAAGGAAGTACTACTGAAATGAGATAAATTTTGAAGAACAGAGTAAGTGGAAAAAAATAGATGATTGTAGAGAGAGTAAGGGAGAACTACGGGAATGAGATAGGGAGGGAAGAGGAGAGTAAGCGGAAGAAGATATTAGATTGCAAAGAGAGTAAGAGAGAACTACGAGAAGGGGATAGAGAGGGGAGTTGAGAAAAGGAGAGCAAGGAAGGACTATTGGAATGAGATAAAGTTGGAAGAGAAGAGTAAGCGGAAAATTAAGAGATTGTATAGAGAGTAAAGGGAGATTACGGGAATAACATAGAGAGGGGGGGCTGAGAAAAGGAGAGTAAGGATGAACTACTGAATTGAGATAAAGATGGAAGAGGAGAGTAAGCGGGGAAAACAGGAGATTGTAAGACAATGTAATAGAGAGCGAAGAGGAGAGTAAGCGGAAGATTGTAAAGGGGAAGTAAGAAAAGAGAAAGTGGAGAAAAGGAGAGTGTGGATAAACTACAGGAATGAGATAGAGTGGGAAGTTAAATAAGAGATTGTAGAGAGAGTAAGTAGTTGCTACAGGAAGGAGATAGAGAAAGAAAAGCTGAGTAGGCGGAAGAAAACTCGGGAATTGTAGAAAGAGCAAGCGGGAACTACAGGAATGAGATAGAGAGGGGATCTGAGAAAAGGAGAGAGTCAGGAAGAACTAACGGAATGAGATAATAATGGAAGAAGGAAAAAAAGCGGACGATAATTAGGAGATTGTAGAGAGAGTAAGGGGTTTACTACAGGAATGAGAGAGAGAGGTAAGCAGAGAGAAGTGTAATGAAGAAGTTCGCGAATGAGATAGCGAGAGAATAACAGAGTGGACGGCGGGAAATTATGAGAAGAGGAAAGGGAAAACCGTAATCATTTTATAAATAAGGAGAGTAAGGGTTGAACTGTAAGAAGATGCATGATAAAAGTTCATTGACGAGAAAGAGAGGAAAGGAAAGTGTAGTGAGAGTTAGTGGCGACTACGAGAATATGTTAGAGAGTGAGTAAGCAGAAGAAAAATATGAGGTTGTAAGTTTAATAAGAGAGATAAAAAGTGAAACTGTAGGAAAATGTTTTATAAATAGGGAGAGTAAAGATGCGTGATAAATATTTGAGAGATGAACCAATAGGTTCATCTGTCAGAAGGAAAAATTGGTCCTCTCTGTCACGCCAGAAAGTTTTTCTCGCCTGAGTCCATCCTTCAAATCTACCACTTATCCTTGCATTGAATACTGTTGCCATATATGGTCTGGTGTCCCCGCTGTTCATCTCGAGGTCCTCGACAAAATCCAGAGACGGATATGCAATGTGATAATGTCCTAATCTGGCATCTCGTCTACAGTCACGCTCTGACAGACGCAATGTGGCTTCCCTCTGTCTTTTCTACAAGTATTTTCATGGCAACGGCTCTGACGAGATTCTTTCACTGGTAAACTGTATGAATTTAAGCGTGCTACTAGGTTGGCATCTCGGTCCCACCCTTTCACTGTTGAAACAGTTAAATGTAACTATCTCTTCTACTCCAACAGCTTCTTCTCTTGCACTTCACGACGATGGAACTCCCTTCCTCCTACTTGTTTCACTGATAGCTATAATCTTCAAATATTCAAATGTAATGTCAATCGACATCTTCCGATGCCTTGATCTTGATCCCGTCCTTCTCTATAAGCTTTTCTCAAACACTCCTCTTTAGTCTTGCTCTCACTCTCTGTAACCCTTTGCGTGTTAGTGGCACCCCTGCCTATCTTGGGGTGAAATGCTTAAGAAAAGAAAAAAATGATGAGAAGTAGAAAGAATAAAGGGAAAATTGTAAGAATGGTAAAATTGTAAGAATGGTAAAATTTTAAGAATGGTAAAATTGTAAGAATGGTAAGATTAATCGTTTCTATACAGGGAACATTCAGCGTTCATTGGCTAAAGTGTTACCGATACCCTCGGATGAAATCTTCCTCTTAAAGAGTTTTTCAAGAAATTAAACTACTCAAGTCCATTAGCTCTTACATATTACTGATGAGAGTTTCCTTCTTATCATTTGGGTTAAAGAAGTGCGGAAAGTCAACCTCATGATTATAGCATTATTTTTCCTTTCGAGTTGCATCTGCTATCCAGTTTTGTTGTTACTGCTATTGAAAGTCTTCAACCGATTTCCGTTGTGGTTGTTTGGTAACCTTACAACCAGAGTAACACAGGTTGACATTTTGGAAACCGCTATATTCATGTGACCTAGCCGATTATTTCTTTACTGATCGCTTGAAAGCGATTTCGCGGAGAAAGGTTACTCTAATGAAAACCAGCTTTAAGAAATCGTTGAAAATCTTTTCACCTCAAATCTGCGGAATTTTAATCAAAGGGTCTCTGATAAGTGGTAAAAAATTTCTTGTGCAAATAATATATGAATATATATATATATATATATATATATATATATATATATAATATAAATAAATGTAATTGTATTTTATACTTGAAGAATAAAGTTGACAACCACAAAAGGAAAGTAGTTATGTCTCAAACTAATAATACTGATTGAACAAATTTTGGCATTTTACCTGTACGCAATGAGTAGAAAATCAAGAATAAAGGTAAACATTTTTGATAGGAAAAATAACAAGCCATTCCTTGCCCCGGTTAACCATTTTCGAGAGCGGTTACTATTTTTTCGATAGCACTTGCTTAAGACAGGAGTAAATAGTTATGTCATTAGGTTAAAATGACATTTCGTCAACTTTTTCAATAGATGGCATCTGAACACGTGATTTAGTTTCCCATCTGAAAATGACATATACAACATGTCTTTCTATACGATTCGGGTGTGAAATGGCACTTTTTAATGTTTTTGCGTTAAAAATGAAAATGAAGGAAAATGAGATGCATTTTCGTTACTTGAAGCTCTTTTATTTCCCGAATAGAAAAAAAATCAGTACAAACAGCAAAAAAGATAGGTGCTGTTTATAGGGATGGTGCTATAGCTGAGAGTACGGTTCTCAAACATTTCACTAGATTTAGAAGTGGAAATTTAGATCTAGAAGACCGAGAACGTTCCGGCACGAGGGCAGTCTTTGATGATGTCCAAATCGAAAAGAGGACTAAAAATAATCTAGGCCACACGAGACGGAATATCGCAGAGATACTTCACGTTTTGTTTTAACCATTTCACCCCAAGCAAGGCGACAAAACCACTAGGATGCAAAGGTGTACTGGGAGAGATTCTCAAGATCATTAGTAAATACATATGCAGATAATACCAGGACTTCTATGTGCACTCTAAAACTTTAGATGATCAGAACCTGGTAGCTGATCTCTCCTCGGCAATCTAGTGTTTCCCTTCCAACTCATAAATTCATGACCTATTCATTCTTAAATGAGTACATATAAAAACACTTAATTCATCGACATTTTTATTCCTTTACGAAATATTCTATTTTCTCCTGTCTGTTTCGCTTTATATTCCCATTATAAGACGATACCATTTGATGGATTCTTGACTTCATAATGAGACATCATTATTATAAAAATCATAATCGATAGGCTCGTCTTGAACATCGTCTTGGTATGACGATAAACTATATCCGGCAGCAAGGCAGATTGGAGGTTTCGAGGAGCGTGGAACCAAATCTTAGTTGCTGTTGTTCCCAGGTACACCCTGGTCCGAGTTTGTAGCACCTTTTAGGGCCCCAGCTATGGGCAAAACCCATAAGCAAAATCAACAGTATATTTTTATAATAAAATTACCAACAATACATTTTATAGCAAAATGACAATCAACGCAATACTAAAAAAATATAAAAATACATTTTTATAGTAAAATTACCAACAAAACATTTTATCATATACAAAATATTTTATATATATATATATATATATATATATATATATATATATATATATATATATAAACGCCTTTCCAATAAAAGTAACAAATTACGTACAAAATATTTAAATTTTGGCATGAAATAACCCATAGAGTTGTTGATATGCCGCCAAACAAAATTAAGGAATCAAACATCCACCATGAAAGACATCTTACACGACATTAATCCATATAAGTTATGTGCCATGCGTGATAGACGCTTAGGCGATCATGTATCTTTCGATAGAATTTGTTTACATTGTGCAGATTAGTACGAAAATTTCAGTGATTGCGCAGATCAGTGTTGCCAACATTGTGTGAAAATTTTTGTGTGAATTGATTGGACGGTTTTTGAAATGTTAGAAAAAAGTCATCTCAAGAATAATTTGGCACGCAGTGTATATATTTTATAGTAAAATGATCAACAATACATTTTATAGCAAAATGACCAACGATACATTTTATAGCAAAATGACCAACAATATATTTTATAGTAAAATGACCAACAATATATATTATAGCAAAATGACCAGCAATAAATTTTATAGCAAAATGACCAGCAATACATTTTATAGCAAAATGACCAACAATACATTTTATAGTAAAATGACCAACTATACATTTTATAGCAAAATGACCAACAATATATTTTATAGCACAATGGCCAACAATACATTTTATAGCAAAATGACCAGCAATAAATTTTATAGTAAAATGACCAGTAATAAATTTCATATCAAATTGACCACCAATACATTTTATAGTAAAATGACCAATAATACATTTTATATCAAAATGACCAGTAATACATTTCATAGCAAAATGACCAAGAATACATTTTATCAGTAGTTGAAGGCAGACAATTTGGTTCAAAATATTTTAATTCTGGCATTGAATAATCTATAGAGGTTGATATGCCGCTAATCGAAATAAACGAAACAACCAAAATAAAAGAACTCTTTCATCACATTAATCCCTATAATATCCTAATCCATTAATCCATATAATATCCTAATCCATTAATCCCTATAATATCCTAATCCATTAATCCATATAATATTCTACGATTTATTAAAGAAATCAAACTGTATTCCAAAATAAAACTTCAATAATACAACATAAAACACACATATCATCGCCTCGATTAATCATATCCACACAAACACGTATATGCATAAAAGCTGAGTATCATCTACCATGGATTCATTTGTGAAAGCAGAATAACGTATATTTTTATTACTTCAAATCTCCCAAGAAAATTAAATTTCGGCATTAAATGACCCATGAAAGACTTGATATGCCGTTGAATAAACAAATCAATTATTAGTCTTGAACAATAACTATTTAGAGTGTTACCCTGTACCGGCGGTAGAAGTATTGGTTACTTCGGGCCTGTGATGCCCTTGCATCAGAAAGCACGACAACTATGCTATATTTTTACAAAAGCTATATGAACAAAACTTGAATATTGCTGCCATATATGGACTGAGGCTGTCCAGTCCTCACTCTCCACCTTGACATAGTGATCGAAAGCCTCTATATGGTCTCGTCAGTGATGAATTTATTTTCAACCCTACAACCCCTTCGCCACAGACGAGACGTCGCAAGCCTCTTGCAATTCGATCGCCAATTCTATGACAAATGTCCTGACGAGTTCCTTTCTTTCGTGTCCTCAAAACAGACCTTTACCACCAAGATTCACCTGCCTACATCGACGGTGTTTCATGATCCTCACTTCTTACGCATTCGCTTAGTAAGACGAAATCTTCATTCAAAGCACCACTATTGTGTAAAACAGACTCCCAAGGAGTGCTTACTCGACCACTACAATCTCTATCTCTTCAAGACTAAGGTCAACTGTTATCTCTATACAACAACCCCATTCATTAAACCTCTACTTTGAGTGGCTTCTGTGCATTCTGTTTAGTGAACAACAACAAAAAACAAACAAACAAAAAACAAAAACAAAACGATATTCCCTTTGTCTGGCACGTCGATTTAGTTAGTTTTAAAACCTTTACGGATTACTTCCCCTGCCATCTCCTTTCGAAGATTAAAAAGAAAAAACTCTAGTTGACATACATGTAGTTTTTTTTTTTTAAGCGTTTCACCCCAAGCAAGGCGGGAAGCCACTAGGACGCAAGGGATTACAGAAGATTTGGAGCAAGATCAGATAGGAGTGATAGAGGAAAGGATGAGGAGAAAGCTAGAGGATAGATCAAGGCAACTGGAGATGTCGATTGACATTACATTTGAATAGTTGGAGATTATAGCTCTCAAGGAAACTGGAATAGGGAAGGGAGTTCCACAGGCGAGAGGTGCGAGACATGAAGCTATTGGAGTAGAAGAGACGGCTACATTTAATAGTTTCGACAGTGAAAGGGTGAGAGCGGGATGCCAGCCTCGTAGGGCGCTTAAACTCATGAAGTCTGGGAACCGGCGAATGCAGCTCCTCGGAGTAATTACCATGAAAGTATTTGTTAAAAAGACAGAGAGAGAGAGAGAGAGAGAGAGAGAGAGAGAGAGAGAGAGAGAGAGAGAGAGAGAGGCGACGGCGCGTCTGTGAGAGAGCGACTGTAGACGAGATGCCATAACAGGGCCAATTATATTGCATATCCGTGAAAATGATCAACTGCTGCAAGTATTCCTGTGTTTTTTTGTTTTTTGTTTTTGCTCCTTTTGGATAAAATGCAATTATAGCTCGAGCTCACAGGGCCATTAGTAGGAGCAGTTCAGTTTAGACGGACGATGTTATATATCTAAGGCAATTTACAATGCTTTACTTCCCACTCATGCACTCATGACGTATTCATTCTTAAATGAGTACACATAAAAGCACTTACTTCAACGACATTTTATTCTTTTTCCATACGACACATTCTATTTTTTTTCTCTCCCCCGCATTTTGAGACGATAGAATTTTACAGATTCGTGACTTCTTAATGAGACTTGTCAGTATTATAAAAACCATAATCAATAGGCTAGTCTTGAACAATCACCATTTAGAGAGTTAGCCAGTCCCGTCGTGAAGAAACATTGGTCACTTCGGGCATTTGACGCTCTTGAACATGTATACCAAGGCACGATGTGTATTTCATTTAATGGAATCTAACTAAATAAACCCTGACTGAAAACCAGATACTATTACTCTTTATTAATATTCGTATATTTTATAAGAAAAAAAAACTAATCTTTCCACGCTGTTCTATATATTAAGTAGCTATACATCAATAGATAAAAACGTTCAAGATACTTATCGATGGCTGATGTTAACTCCTCTCTGCTCTGGATCCTATAAAGATAATGTCTTATTTTCAGAATATATATATATATATATATATATATATATATATATATATATACTTGTATTTTGATTGGTCATTTGAGCTTATGTGACAGCGTTTCACCTTACGAGGTGTGGTTAATTAATTTGAACCTTTTAAAGCCTTTATTCTACAATCTACATTCAACATCATCACTTGAGAGGCACCAGAGGTGTTGAAACAAAATGTCTATTTTGTAGTGATTTTAGAACATATTTATGTTATAATTTTTAAATAAATAATTATATATATATATATATATATATATATATAGTCGATTTTCCCGTCGAATTCGACGTATGAGGGTCAAGCAGATCAGTTCCCAGGAAACCGACAGCCCGACAACAGCATATGAGATTTGATTATAGTGGTGAAGGTTTCGTGCAAGACCAACTACACTTTTTGAAGGGCCGAATACACAGACCTGGTGCACTAAGTGCCACAAAGTCCCCAAACGAACCTCCGCAGGTTTTAAATTCAGAGTTGTCCTTCTCCTAGACCAGTTGCCATCCAAGGCTATACAACCCAGTCTGTCCTGCTATTTACCCATAGCTGGAGGGAGAAGAAGAGGATTCACACCTTCCCCAAGTGTAATAGCACGTAAGTGAATTCGAACTCAGTTCTCCGATTCCTCAATCCAAACCGATATCCATCACTCCACTTTACCTCACCTCACTTCCTCACTTCGTTAACTTTGCGTATTCTTGATGAGGTCCGTAAAAAACCTGTGAATTTTCTTTTCATTCTTCATTTCAGCTTTTGGAAGTAAAGTCTGATGATCCAGAATCCTGTTAAAGGGGTTATGGTGAAATAGCTTATTACATGGAATCTTAACGTAGTCTGTCTTTTATTCAAACATATATGCTCTGAATCTTACATTGAGCTCTCTGGATATCATCCTCCTCAGGTCTACCCATACAGATTACCTAAATTTGAATAAACTATATATATATATATATATATGTATATATATATATATATATATATATATATATATATATATATGTGTGTGTGTGTGTGTGTGTGTTTGTGTGTGTGTGTGTGTGTGTGTGTGCATGTATTTATATGGGTTTATCAAATATAATATAATAATAATATATATATATATGTTTTTCTTTCACAATTTCACCTTTCCTAACAGAGTCACTAGTCTCCCAAGGCAACATAAACAACAAATATAACAAGAAATCATAATAAAACGGTTGAATCCGTTAACACAAGACAAACGATACGAAAATTCTCTTCAAACATAGAAAGTAAATGACGTAATATTTCAGTTGACCCAATTAGTATATATGAGTTTTTCTAAATTGTTCTAGTTCTTGTTAGTGTTCGGATACGGCTCGCAAAGGGTGGAGCATCCTCCACCAGAAATGTTGCGGTGACTCGTGTTTATCGTGTGATGTTTGTGGACCTTCTCTAAGCAGATGTCACCTACTATGACCCAGTTAAAATAACGGACACATGGAGCCTTGTGGGAGCCGTTGATCTGACTTCGCACCATGTGGATTCTGAGTATGTTGCGTTCAAGAAAAACATTATTGGTGTTTTGTGCTCTAAGGTTGAAATGACGTGAGCTATTGTTGAGGATGGTGAAGGATCGCTTCGGGACATCGTCAGTCATATCATTGCATTCGACGAAGCTCGGATGCAAGAAGTTGACCTGGTTATATTAGAGGGATTGAATTTTTAACTTAAAAATAAAGAAAATGAGTAATGCAGTTTATTTGTATCATTTCTTTATATATAAATATATCTATTCTCTCGAAATAATTCAATTGGGCTCTCGAAGAGAAAGGGGTGATTTTATAAACAGTGGCTGCAGCTGCTAATGCAATGCTCTTCAACTAGAATCGAGCTCTCCTAGTCATTGACGTATTTCCTATAGTAAAGACGTTAAAATTTCCCCAACCTTCTGCCGTGCGACGATAGCTTATAGGTAGAATCTCTGTCTGATGCCGAATAGGTCGGGTTTCGATCCCGGCTTGAAGCAATCAGATGTCTGATGAGCTGTGATACAGCTGGATGACTATATATATATATATATATATGACTATAGATATTATATCTGCTCTTCTCTGTATTGAGCACTCTTTCAAGAATAGTAATTGTTGGTTATTGGAATTTATAACGTGATCACCAATCATATACTTGGGAATATATATATTTTTTTTTTCTTATTGATCTAGATATCAACTGAGTACTTTCATTGGCAAACCTTGCCATACGTTAAATTACATAACTTTACACATATCAAAATGAATTATTATTATTTGTGTATGTTATGTTTCCTGTTTTGTATCCTGTAGAGCCGTGTCCAAACTATGGTCCTTAGGCCCTATAGGAGAATTATCATTTAATTGAGAGCACTTTTCTTAGGATATGCGATGTTCCTAGTAAGGTGATCTTCTGGGTGACTTGTATGTTGATGTTTCCTCGGACACTGTTAGTAAAATTGTCCATTCCTTTTATTACGAGGCCCAGTGCTCCGATTATTATTGGTACAGTCTCAGTTTTCATTTCTCACATCCTGTTAATCTCTGTCTTCAGGTCCTTGTATTTGGACAATTTATTGATAATTTTATGGAGGTGTTTCTCTCAGATGGTACTGCTATGTCAATAAGCATACAATTCCTGAATTTTTTGTGTTTTATGATAATATCAGGTTTGTTGTGTTTCTCTCAGATGGTACTGCTATTTCAATATTATTATTATTATTATTATTATTATTATTATTATTATTATTATACACACACGAAACGATAGATAGATAGATAGATAGATAGATAGATAGATAGATAGATAGATAGATTGATTGATAGATCGATAGATATGGTTTTGTGGCTCTATTTATTCCACAAAAAGTAGGCAGTAGGCAGATGAGTGGCGCTGATGCAAGGCAGAAGAGTAATGGTGACAATAAATCTCATTGGAAGATCCCGCTTTTGATGTTGATTGGTCTCGATGTTAAATGTATGATTTAGGTTTAGTGTAGTCTTCCAGATTTTCATGCCCTCCGTTATTGACTGTTGTGGGGCAACTCTGTATATTTTAGGCTTTCCTCTATCTGTAGATAATAATAATAATAATAATAATAATAATAATAATAATAATAATAATAACAACCCTCTGAATATAAAACCCGACATGACAGAGTGGGCCAACATCTGCACTGGAAAATCTGCAACTTCTACGGGAAGGAAACTGAAAGAAACTAGTATGAACACCACCCAGACCCGGTTACGGAGTTAGGACCTGTTACAATTCTATGGGACTACACAATACACACTGACAGAACAATCAAGGCCAACCGCCCAGATATTGTTATTAAAGACCACAAACAAAAAAAAGTGCCTCCTTATTGATATGGCAGTCCCTGCTTACTGCAATGTATCTTTGAAGATATTCAAAAAGCTGTCAAAATACCTTGAAATAGAAATCTCAAAATGTGGCATATGGGAACATCAACAATCCCTGTTGTAGTTGGAGCCCTAGGACTGGTTGGAAAAGATTGCAATAGACTAATTGAAGGATTCTGGAAGTCCATGCCTCAAAGAGATACAAGAAATTGTTCTGACAAATACAGCCCATACTTTTTACGAAGGGCTTTATCTATGTATTTTTTTTGTCTGTGTAAAGTGTCATGATGCCATTTCTAACCTTAGATCACTGGGCGGGACCCGGAAAGAAATGTGTAAACGCTAGAAAGCAAAGAAAATAATAATAATAATAATAATAATAATAATGACGATAATAATAATAATAATAATTGTGCTCGTACCTCCCTTCATTAGTTGCTTAGTTAGTTCGCACGACCATTACACCCTGCTGATACCTAATATATGATGGACTATTTTGAATTGATCGGGTGGAAAGAGGAGAAAAGACACTACTTGGTCTCAGTGGGAAAAATGAAAGATTGAAGAAAAAAAGAAAGATAGAAGTGTTTAATATGTCCTGCCAATATGTCATAATTTATGGACTATTTGTTCTGATTGTGCAGAAAAGGAAAACACATATCAAAGTCGTTACTTGGTTTCAATGAAAAAATACCTGAAAGAATGGAAAATAGAAGTGTTTAACGTCTTTTGTTAATACCTCATAAATAATGGACTATTCAGTTTTGATTGCGTAGAAAATTAATGCACAGAGACGCAAATTGGTTTCAGTGAGAAAATGAATGAAAGAAAGAAGGGAAGAAGTGTTTCATGACTGTTCCAGTGAAATGGAAAAAATTGACAAGTTCAAATCTTTTCATTTGTACTCCCTTACTTCTTAAAATAACGAGCAGCATTCATATTTATGATTATTACAATATTTTGTTAAAGTTGTTAAGCTCAAATATTTAACAAGGGGAATTTCTGCGGATAATTTATCGTCGTAGAACACAGTATGAACTTATTCAATCATTAACTTAAGAATTAAGATTCATCAGAATATAAAAATAAGAAAACCGGGAAATTTTCACGATTTTTTTTATAGTATTTATTTGAGCGATAATGAAACTTAATACATAGCGCCATATTGACTGCATCTTGTTTGCTGTTTTTCTACCGTTGTCAAGAGAATGTCCACCATTTCCACTTCATCAAACCGAGCATTTCAAACATATTTTGCTCACTAACAAAACTCTGTGACTGTTGTGACCATTGTAAAATTCGACAATGCTTTTACGTCTGCTGTTGTTGCAAACAAGTTTCAAAGTGATGCGATTTTAAAATCGTGATCAGTAAGTGGCGCATGCGCGTAGCTGCTCAAGTTCAGAGATTTCTTATTTATCTTTCTTGTTGCTTATTTTTTGTATTGTCTGTTCTTTCTTTTGTGTCTTTTAATCCTTCGTTTTCAGTTTCAGCTTTTGCTACCGTCTTAGTTCTTTTCTTTTCTTTTTTACTTTGCGTTTCTTCCTTCACTTTAGTTCGTCTTTTGATTCTCCTATTTCTTTACCCCTTCAAATTTTTATCCTCTCTTGTGTTCTTACGCTGTAGGTATTAATTTCCTTCTCCTAGTGTGTTATCGTTTTGTCCCTCTGATGTATATTCTGTCATTTTTCTTTCCTTTTTATTCTATTATTTTTACAGTTGGCATTTTTCTTTATTTCTTTTTTTCTTTTTATTTCTTTACTTATTTTCCCTTCCTTCTCTTTTATCACGGATTTAGCCAAATCACAAAAACACTCCATGTGTCTCAAAAGCGAGGGAACATCAACGATGCCTAAGAGATTACAGAGGAAATGAATAGATTTACATTTACAGCATTGGTAGCGGAAGTGACCGGTGAACACGTAACATGACAACAAACGAAAAAAAGAACACATCAGGTCTAAAAAGACCTGATGTGTTCTTTTTTTCTGCTCACGTAAAAATGGCATTATTTTCTAAGATTTCTCCCTGAATGATTCTTTGATTATCTCCCTTGTTTGGTTATCTCCCCTTTTTTTTTTTTTTTTTTTTTGACTCCGCGCTGGACGTTTCCCACCGCCATGTTTTCTTTATTTTCTGTTATTTTTTTTATTGTTATTTTCTTTTTTACTTTTTATTCGTGATTTGCTTTCTTTCGATTTCTTTCAGTTTTTCTTTCAAATTCATTCATTCTTTTTTTCTTTTTTTCTTTCTTTGAATTGATTTCTTTCTTTGATTTGCCTTCTTTCTTCTTTCCATTTCATTCATTCTTTCTTTCTTTCTTTCTTTCTTTCTTTCTTTCTTTCTTTCTTTCTTTCCTTGAATTGCTATCTTTCTTTTGGTTTCTGCCTTTCTTTGATTTGCCTTCTTTCTTCTTTCCATTTCATTCATTCATTCATTCATTCTTTCTTTCTTTCTTTCTTTCTTTCTTTCTTTCTTTGAATTGCTTTCTTTCTTTTGGTTTCTGCCTTTCTTTGATTTGCATTATTTCTTCTTTCCATTTCATTCATTCATTCTTTCATTCTTTCTTTACTTTCTTTCATTCATTCATTTTTTTCTTTCTTTCTTTCTTTCTTTCTTTCTCTCTTTGAATTTCTGCCTTTCTTTGATTTGCATTCTTTCTTCTTTACATTTCATTCTTACTTTCTTTCTTTCTTTCTTTCTTTGAATTGCTTTCCTTCTTTAATTTGCCTTCTTTCTTTCTTTCTTTCTTTCTTTGAATTGCTATCTTTCTTTTGGTTTCTGCCTTTCTTTGATTTGCCTTCTTTCTTCTTTCCATTTCATTCATTCATTCATTCATTCTTTCTTTTCTTTCTTTCTTTCTTTCTTTCTTTCTTTCTATCTTTGAATTGCTTTCTTTCTTTGATTTGCCTTCTTTCTTCTTTCCATTTCATTCATTCATTCTTTTATTCTTTCTTTCATTCATTCTTTTTTTCTTTCTTTCTTTGAATTGCTATCTTTCTTTTGGTTTCTGCCTTTCTTTGATTTGCCTTCTTTCTTCTTTCCATTTCATTCATTCATTCATTCTTTCATTCTTTCTTACTTTCTTTCTTTTTTTTAATTGCTTTCTTCTCGTTGATTTGCCTTCTTTCTTCTTTCCATTTCATTCATTCATTCTTTTATTCTTTCTTTACTTTCTTTCTTTCATTCATCCATTCTTTCTTTCTTTTTTTCTTTGAATTTCTTTCTTTCTTTTAGTTTCTGCCTTTCTTTGATTTTCTTTCTTTCTTGTTTACATTGCATTCATTCATTCTTTCTTTCTTTCTTTCTTTCTTTCATTCTTTCTTTTTTCTTTGAATTGCTTTCTTTCTTTTGGTGTCTGCCTTTCTTTGATTTGCCTTCTTTCTTCTTTACATTGCATTCATTCATTCTTTCTATCTTTCTTTCGTTCTTTTGATTGCTTTCTTTCATTGAATTTTTCTTTCTTTCTCTCATTCTTTCTCTTTCCTTTCTTTGCATTCTCTCTTTCAAATGCTTTCCTTCTTTCTTTGAATTGCTTTCTTTCTTTCATTGATTCTTTTGATTTCTTTCATCGTTTGGTTTCATTCTTTCATTTTCTTTTTTCTTTGATCTTCTTTCTTTCTTTCTTTCTTTCTTTCTTTTGGGTTACTTTTTGTTTGTTTCATTCATTCTTCGGATTTCTTTTTTTTTTTTGCTTTAGGTTTCTTTGTTTCATTCATCCATTCACCCTTTGGATTTACTACCTTCGTTCTTCTGTCGTTCTTTTGGGGGGGTAGTTTTGGCGGTACTGCTTTCTTTCTTTCTTTTTTCATTAAATTCTTTGTTTTATACGTTATAAATTATGCATTATTTTTCACTCATGTACATCGCCTTTCTCTTTCCCTTTCACTGTTATTTTTTGTCCTTTTATTTTTCTATATTTCTCTTCAATTTGCTTGTATCAATTTCTTCAGCTGCGGAAAGCACACACACACACACACACACACACACACACACACACACACACACATATATATATATATATATATATATATATATATACCACATTGACACTATTTCGCAACTCTTTCGAAGCGTGTCTATTATAACGCTCTTACCTTTGTTTCGTATCAATCAATTCAAATTATTTTTTTACAAATGTAAAGAATACACACCCTCTATAAAATGCTTTATGCTGATGGATTGTCATAAATGAATTTAGGAGAAAAAAAAGATAAGCTCTGCTTTAATAACTTGCTTCATGAGACACATGGAGAGGTGTTTGTTTGGTGAAGCCAAATTCAGTAGAAGAGACAGATTCACAGATAGACAAGTAAATGCCAACATAGAAAAAACAGATGCAAAGAGACAGTTAAATGCATGCGCACACACACAGACACACACACACACACACACACACACACACACACACACACACACACACAGACACACACACACACAGACACACACACACAGACACACACACAGACACAGACACACACACACACACACACACACACACACACACATATATATATATATATATATATATATATATATATATATATATATATATATGTATATATATATATATCTATTCAAAAAAGTGAACCCCTAAGATAAAATTGTCTCTTTTTTTCCCGGATAATCAAAACATCTTAATTAAACTATATATGAATTAAGAAAAACATTTATTAAGCGAATTACAAAACCTTTTGATATTTTTATCAAGCTGGAATGAAAAAAATATTTAATTAAAATTTAAAAATGATGATGAAGAAAAATAATTCACGACGTCTTACACAGAGGAAAGGCATTCATTACATTGTATGCGGAATTTATATAATGGCCGCTGCAAAAGACACCGAACGTTGCCGCGTCTGCGCAATACAATGTAACACCCAAGCAGTACACGTTTGAGATGCGTCAAGCGATGGCATAGCGTGTCGTAGCGATCATATATATATATATATATATATATATATATATATATATATATATATATATATATATATTCATACATGTTTCATTAAATAATATAGACAAGTGTTGTCTATTTATTTTATGTAAATTCTTTTCATAACGTCTGATAAGCTTAATAACATTATCATTAAACGAAGAAAGAAAATCACAATATTGATCCATATTTTTTAATCTAATCTAAGCTTTCAGCTTACTTACATAAGCCACTATCAAAGATGTCAATTACAGTACAATATATTAAGCAATATACGGACAAGACAGTGATGATAGCATGTGATTGTTTACATGGATGATTTCCAAGCAACGATAAACACGTGCAAATAAGACGCTAGAAGCGAAAATCGCACCGCAGCTCATGACGTCACACATGATCACGCGAGAGTGAATTCGAGAAGTATTAAGTATGCGAAGCCATTGGTATAAACTATGGCTTCTGTTACCAATTATAGACATTTAAGGATATTTGTAAAGATTCCATTGTTGATTTTGTTTAGGTTAGGTTTCAACTGTTTGATTACTTCAAGGATTTTTAGTTTTTGTCTATTGTTTTCCTGTTTAAGTAAAATTGTGTTTTCGACAAGTATATATATATATATATATATATATATATATATATATATATATATATATATATATATTAAAAGAAGAGAGGTACCGCAAAAGGTTTTTGGTTGTAATGTGGATTTTTTTAAATATTATGATTTATTTTCCATAATTATGCTACACGTGTTTCTGGTCACGCGACTTTCTTCAGGTAAAAGGCGAAGATTTCTACAAATTATTAAAAATAATTAATTTTTTCTTTATGTTTTTCAATGTTAAATATTGCCGATATGAGACATTACAACCAAAAACGTTTGCGGTACCCCCCTTTCTTTTTAATATACACACTTTTCTCTCGTTGGAACCACTATAACATCTTTCTTTTATATATATATATATATATAATAGCTGCGTACTTGTATTCGAGGATACTAAGGCAGCTAGACAATCCCTACTAAAGACGCTCGCTCAGACACATTTGTTTTGGTTCAACACCCACAGAGCCAACCTATACTAGAACTATTCTTCCGTAGAACCACATTTCTGTTGCTTCAAGTCTCTTCATCATCTTTGAGGATATTGTCCGTCATTTTCTGAATATAGAAGGATAGATATTACGTAACAGTTCAGTGCTATTTCAGTAGGTTTTTTTCTTGTCTCTTAATACTCTGCTTAGCTTTAAGAATCCATCTTTGTCCATCGCAATGCGTCTTCGGATCTCAGTGTCGTACTTTCCGTCCTCTGTTAGAACACTTCCTAGCTATTTAAATTTTCGTGAAGAAAGCTGATAAGAACCATTATCGGGAAAATATAGACAAGGCAAAGGGAAGCCACGGGAAAGTGACTAACAGTCTTTATTCATCTGTAGTTGAAGCCATAAAATTGTGTTCAGAAAAAATATCGGTATTAAATGACACAAAAAGAGTTGAAGTGCCGTTAAACAAATAAGGCCATCAATCAAAATCTAACAGTTGATGGTTAGTCCTTTCTTTCCGCTTTCCTTTACTACCATATCTGGGAGGTTCTATGTCTTCACTTGGGTTTTACCTGTTGCTGGAAATGATACTAGAAAAGGTATAGATCCGGACGATTTACTTTTGACATAAATCTGAAAATGTCTGCTTTTTCCGTTGTTAGTTACGACAGAATTTTATATATATATATATATATATATATATATATATATATATATGTAACCAAATATATGGATATAGATCCGACAGTATGAAGAAAAATATACGGAAAAAACAAACAAAAATAATAATATGCAATTATGCTGTTTTAATGTTAATATAATGTCAACGTCGGACGTTTCGGTCTAGTAGACCATCTTCAGGACATATTCATAAAACATAATTAATATTAGACTATATTTAATTCAACATGAAAAGACGATGGACATAAGAGTAAGACTAATCAAAACAGATGATTGAAATTTTTCAAGATCAACGTTCCGTTTCAATATGATCACGTCGTCGTCACGTGGGCGATGTTGTGAAAACGTATTCCTAAAATAGAGTATTTTGAATGAAAAATGAAAAAAATTTTATTTTAATCTAAAACTTATATGTACGTTTGTCGAGCATTAATCTTGCTAGAAAAGGGGAAATATTAAAGAAGCCGGGATAGTATTTACCGTGCCTGAGACAGATATTATGCCTGCCTCATAAAATATATATATATATACTCATATATATATATATATATATATATATATATATACGTAAAATATATTTTCTTGACTTTTGAATATGTAGATAAAAGGCTTCCTTTTCACCATTGTTATGTACTCTTCAGTTCAAGAAAATTACGAGTTACTTACAATTAATAGGTACCCTCAAGAAAATTACTAGGTATATATTACTATGTACCCTAGAATTTAAGAGAATTGCTCGTTACCCACAATTGATACGTATCCTACAATTCAAGAAAATTACTAGGTGCATACATTTACGAGGTACCATACAATTCGAGAGAATTTCTACGTACCTACAATTGTTATGTACCCTGGCTAAAGACGTGATGCCAGGTCAGAAGCGATAATATTGCTGATCATTCTTTGGACTTTTTCAGAGAACTCCAGACTCATAGCAGAAGCGCCAGAACAAATCTGGAAGCAATATTC